AGAATTCAGTAACATCTTGGTAATCAAGCTCATGGCCAAGCCACTGACTCACTCTGACTGACACGACGGCGGCTGTCAACTCTAAGCGTGGGATGGTTACTGACTTCAATGGGGTGACGCGGGTCTTTCCCATAACCAAGGAACAATGGGCTTGGTCACTTTCGTTCAATAGACGCAGATAGTTGCACTGACCGTAGCCTGCTCGACTCGCATCAGAAAAGTGGTGCAGTTCGACTACCTTGGGTCTCGAAATTCTTCAGGTTTGTAGCATCTTGGTATCTTGAGACCTTTTAGGAGTCGCAACTCATTTCGCCATTGTTCCCACCTTGGTCTCAGTTGATCACTGATCGGGTCGTCCCAGTCAGCATTTTCCCGACACAGGTCTTGTAATATCTGTTTGCCAAGAAGGGGGCTACAAGCCCAAGGGAATCATAGACTGAACTTACTGTAGATAAGATGCCTCTTCTTGTAAGTGGACGGTCTTGGATAACTATGCGGAATTGGAAGCTGTCAGTCTGTGCACACCACGTTATGCCGAGTGTTCGCTCAATTAAGTCCTTTTGCGCGATCTTCAGGTGGAACGGCTTGGATAACTTTTTTCTTGTTGCTGCTAGACTTATGCAACCTAAGGCCTGCTTTTGCACACATGGCTTGACAGTTCTTAATGAGGTTGACGGCTGTGTCAACACATTTCACAGACTTCAGTCCATCATCAACGTAGAGGTCTCTTCTCATGAAGTCTGCAGCTTCTGAACCGAACTCCTCCTCTCCATCATCGGCAGCTCTTTTGAAGGCAAAATTTTCACATCCTGGCGACGAAGCTGCACCGAACAAGTGTACCTTCATGCGATACTCTTCTGCTTCGTTCTTTAAATCACCGTCACTCCGCCAAAAGAATCTGAGGTCTCGGTCTGCCTCGTTGACGAAGAACTGGTGGAACATTCCTTGTACATCACATGTCAGGGCCACAGCCTCCTGACGGAACCGGCAGAGGACACCCATTAGATTATTTGTCAAATCGGGCCCTTGGAGCAAGTTCTTATTCAGGGATGTTTCTTTGTATTGTGCACTGCAGTTAAAGACTACTCTTATCTGGCCAAGCTTTCTCGGGTGGTAGATTCCGTAATGTGGACTACTCTTATCTGGCCAGGGTTTCTCGGGTGGTAGATTCCCTAATGTGGAACATAGTTAATCTTGCCATCCCCAATCTTGATACCAGTTTCGTCTTGAGGGGAAGCCCTTTCTGCGCATCCTTCGCATCTCTTCTGAATGGTGCTTTCAGTTGAGACAGTCTTCTTAATGCTTGTGATCGATTGTTTGGCAACATAACATCCTGAGAGCGCAAGAACAATGGCATTTCGTAGTGTCCATCTTCTCTTTGGCAGATTCCTTTATCCAGGATTTCCAGGAACGTACGGTCTTCAACAGACAGGGTAGAGGGGTTCTTCTGTTCTGCTCTTTCGTGAAAGTCTCTTTCGAACATCTCCTTCACATGAGCTGGGCAGATGAATTCCCTTGCTCGGGACTCCATAGCAAACGTTGCATCTTCATTAATTACAATCTTGTTGATCCAGCTTTCTGACAGTTCCTCAAAGTCTTCATCTGGGAGAGACTTGCAAACTCTTCCAACAATGCCCCAACCATGATCGATCTTAATGCCGTATGGGTCATTATCTCCTCCGGGAATCACTTCACGCGGTTTGATAGCCTTTGTGCATTTAGTTCCAATCAACATTCTGATCTGTACATCTTCTCTATATGGCATAAGTTCTTCAGCAATACAGTTTAGATGGTCCCACTGCATGGCGACTTCTGGCTTTGGAATCTGATGAGGATTGTATGGAATAACTTCTCTTGTGTAGACCCTTGGCAACGGAATGTGTATTTGGCGTTTTAGATCTGTAACAACAAGACTTTGAACCTTCATGCACTCAACTATTTCATTCTCTTGATGCATTGTTGACAAGCGAAGGTGACTTGTTACACTGTCAACCTCCAAGGTTTGTTCTAGCTTCTCT